TACAGGTAGATTCTTGGATAGAGCTTTCCCAAACCTGGGTCCAGTTGCCAGCTATAGGCATGTGCTGACCACAAGTTTATCAAATGTTCTTTGTTTGGTATCCCTTTAGAACATGTTGAGCTGCAATTTGATTGCATCTTCCTGTATTTTTATAGACAAAGCTAGTATCTCCCATACTTATTGCTGTCTCCCTTGTGCAATTACAAAGAAATGTCAGAAACTCCTAACACTAGAATAATAAAAGCTGAACGTATTATTTTTTTTTTAACTCCCAAGGAGAAAGAAATAAGTTAATGGTGAAAAAGAGGCAGTGTTGGGTAGGAAATCTCTGCTAGGCCTTGACTAGCAGCTGTAGGCAGACACGTGATTAATTTGTTGACACCTTGGATTCATGGTTTTCTCCCCCTAGTAAAGTGACTGAGAATTGAAAAAGAGGTGATGTAAAATGTGACCCTTCAAACGCGACAGTTTGAAGGACATGAGAATAAAATTATTAGCAACTTTCTCAGTATCTCCATGTGTCTTAAGCTCTTCCTTCATATGAGTGTTTATAATGCTTAGGGCAGTATATCTTATGTGACTTAAATACTATATTATCAGGAATCCCCAGCTACCGAGGCTGTTACTCAAAGGATCCTAAAGGGTTTCATGGACAAACCCAAAGGCTGAAATACAACCTTAATGAAAGCAGCTTGTAGCTCCCAAAGACTCAAGAGGACTGCTTCTTTTTACATCAGGATTGAATTTGGCCCAAAGTCTACAAAACTTACATTGTGCCTTAAAGCTGTTGAGGATTTGTGGGTCTGTATCTGTGGCTGTGTTTGGGAAAGGTCGACTTTGAGATTTCCAGGTCAGAGCTGTTTGACAAGGATTTAGTGTCATCCACAACTTGGGACAAGCTAACAGGCTTTCTTGTTCAAAGGCAATGCTGTAACTGTAAAAAGAGGCTAAGAGGGCAAAACTGGAAGGAAAAAGAAGACAATTCGTTTTAAGTGATTTATCCTTACTCTTCAAGACTCTCAGACCAGAAGAGGGTTCCTCCTCTTGAATGAGGCATGACTGAGTTATCTTTCCATTATTGCACTGCTGAGTTATTAGAGTTTTGAAATGTAAATAGGAAAGACTTCATAATCTGTGGGGTAATCTGCACAGGCTAATTTGTACCTTCCTGGAAAGCCTAGTTCCTTACTCAATGAAACAGGGCACTGTGGAGGCTTAGCCAACTTTTCCCGACATTTAGGAAATCAAAGAAAAAACAGGAGACGAACAGTGAGACACACCACTTAATTACCGCTAAGCCTTCTAAGCATTCCTGGTTTTTTCCTAGGCTGGACAGTTGGAATCATGCTGTAGCACGGGAGAACATTACACTGGCCTCTTGTGCACCATATGCCTTTTCATTGACAAACTAACACTTTTTTAATGAGAGTTTCTGAGGTTGTTATCCAAACTACATTCCTTATCCCAGATCTCATCTGTAGCACCTCTCCCAGAGGTATCTGGGAGTTTGGACCCAGGCATATATGTGAATCCAGGTCCCAGTGAGGTCAATAAAAATATTGTTGTTGCTGAACAGATATCTACTAGGCTCAAATGAAAAGGTAAAAGCCGTCCAAGAAAAAGCGAGAGACAAATTACAGGTTCTTTTTTTAATCAGAATATGCCTTCTTCTTCTCTCTTCCTTCTTTTGATTTTTTTTAACTGTCTTAACTTTATAGCTAGTTTAAAGTAACTGAGAAAATGTTTAAATTTTAAAATGTTGAATAGTCCTGGACCAATGCCCGAAAAATGTCATGTGACCTTCCTGATATATAACTCTTAATTTTCGAACTTACTGACTCCAGTCAAGAATTTTTGGTGATGATATAATACTGAAATGTAGAAAAAGAAATACCAGGAGGTTGAAAAAATGAACTTGAGTTCGCAGGTAGGCATCCCCATTTCCGGAAAAATGGAAAAAGAAGAAAGCACACCTGCAGAACTTTGGTGCGTTAAATATTTCATAAGCATAACCTCGGGGTTATGTTAATGTAATCATTTACATGGGAATATTAATTTTTGGAACATTTGTGGCATTAGTTAACCCGTTCTTTGCAGAAGTGTTAGACTCTCAAAGCAACCTCTGGACGTGACAGAGGTGGCTGCTGGTCTGCCATTCTCTGTGCATCCCACCACCACCATCCTGATCCCGGGAAGTATTACAGATGCGTGGACCATTCCCTTGGAGACGGAGTGGTCAGGATGAGATGCTGTTCACAGGCTACGAGGAGACTGGGGAGCTGCATCCCCCTTGGAGTCCTGCAGCTGGAGACACCTGCAGCTCCTGGCACCCACACGGGGACGTGGAGAGGGAACAGGACGTAATAAGCACTTTTGGTTCCCTCGTGTCTGTGTTTGACTCGGTGCAAGACAAGGCACCTGGTGATGCTGCTCGCGTACCTCTGCGGGAGGGGAGCCAGCAAAGTCAGACTCCTCCGGGGTCCCGCTCCTCTCCCCTCCCCGGAGCCCAGGCTGCCTTCCAGCCCTTGATCTCGGCAGAGAGCGAGCTGTTTGCCAATCTCCTCTCCCTCCCCAGGCAGCGTTAAGGTGGAAAAGGTGGATGAAAGAGTAAAGGCAGACATCTGCCCTTTGGGGTGTCCCTGTCGGAGAGCGAAGCCGAGGAAGGAAGGAAGACGAGGGGGACAGGGTGAGTGGCTGCGTGTGTCAGTCAGCGGGGGGATGATCTAAGTATCTGAAGTCATTCAAAAGGTCAAAGCGAGCATTAACTCTTCCCCGCCCCTCTCTCCTCCTCGGGGGCTCGGGGGAAATCACAGTCCGCCCAAACTAGATGACAGCTTGCCGGGACTTAATGACAGGCTGGGTGCAGACAAGCCGCGGCCGCCCAGACAAAGGGAGGAAGTTTGGTGCTGCCGCCGACCCCAGAGAGAGGGGCAAGGGCAGGGGACGAGCCGGGACACCGGGGGGCAGGGACAGGGGCAGGGTCGGGGGCGCGACCCCCAGCCCGGGCAGCAGCTCCCCCCGGCCGCGCCACCGGCGCTCTCGGAAAAACCTCGGCCGGTTCCCTCCCCTCCGAGAGCCAGGAGTAAACCTGCCTCCTCCTCCCGCTTCTCCTCCTCCTCCTCCTCCTCACATTGCAAAATGAAGGGCAGCGGCGGGCAGGAGAGAGGGGGAAGCGGGCGGGAGGCGAGGTAAGCGCAGCTCCACAGCCCCCGACAGCTCGAACCCCGGCTGACTCTGTGGCTTTAAGCGATTCGAGGGGAAATCTCCTTTTCTGATTAAATGAGAAGGAAGTGTGGGAGTGGTGGTTTTGAAGCTCTCCCTTTAAGAGGCAGCCTGCAGTGACGAATTGTTGAAATTGCCCATTGCAAAATGAAGGGCAGCGGCGGGCAGGAGAGAGGGGGAAGCGGGCGGGAGGCGAGGTAAGCGCAGCTCCACAGCCCCCGACAGCTCGAACCCCGGCTGACTCTGTGGCTTTAAGCGATTCGAGGGGAAATCTCCTTTTTTTCATACACCAACAGTTTTTTTTCCTCCCGGTCTCTCCCTCCTCCCCGGCTTCCTCCCTCTCTTTCCCCTCTCCTGCCGCCCTCTCTCCCGCTCCCTCTCCCTCCTTTTCTCCTCCCTCCGCAGC